GCCATCTAATAAGCCCGATTGCCATTCTCCCAATAAGATTTCTGTTACGCCGAGCACAAAGGTGAACAAGCGTCTATGAATCGGTCATGAAGGGGCTCTGTTATACCATTCGTTTCTGTCATTATTGGGCCAGATATAGAGTGGCAACCCGATTTCCTCTTAACGCCTATGCATTCTTAGCCAAACTTTTGTTGAAGGCGTTCGTGAAGCCTAGAAGGGGTCAAACTCTCAATACATCTATGAATGGCTGTAAGTCTCTGGAGATGATATATAATAGTAAAATGAATTGAATTTTTGTGGAAGCTTCGGCCTTTTTGACAAGGGCGGACCACACAGAAAAAGTTATGGTGTCTTGACAACTTGAGCCCCGATAGTTGAGGCAAATAGAGCCATCAACACCCCAATTATCAAGACAATAATCAAGCATTTGCATAAAATGTAGCAACGAAACGCTATCCGTAGGCTTAGTCTCAATTTTAGCAGACGAAATTATCTTATTGTGATGCTAAGGGGTCGGTGATGTTTAGGTTTAAAAAGCTACTTTGTGGAGCATAATGTTCTTCAACTATGCGCATGTAACTCTTTCAATTTCGGTACCAGAAAATTAGTCAATGCAAAATGGTAGTCCGTCTAAAATAAGTCTTCGACTTATTTGGGGGCAAGGAGTGAGCTGAAGAGATCAAAGTCAAGCCTTAGTTTTGCTTCTTTTAATACGTCGGAATTTTTGCAATGAGGTGTCCGACATTTGCAAATGAGCCAGAAAAGTGAATACACTGAAACAGTCGCTCCGAGCCTAGGTCAAAAGGAGGGAAGAGGAAAGGATAAAAGCAGGAAGAATAGAGAAAAGTACAGAAACAACTGGGGCAGGTTTCGTGAAAATTCCAATGTTAGGGTACTCGTGCACAGTCTTCCGGGAAGGGGAATTCAAAGTTCGAAATTATAATAATTATACTACCCTCAGAAAGGTCCTGAACGATTTTTAGAGCAAACATATCCGGTTTTTTTGGGATTCTGACGTCACTTTTTCGCCATGGCTGAATGAAGTTTGATAGTAAAAGTGAGTTGTTGAGAAGACTCCCATTTCATATAAAAGGGCATGATGAAGAGATTCGAATGTCGATCTCACCAAAAGAAGAACATTGGTTCTCTTTGTACTACAGCAGTTTAGCTTCAGTAAGACGTTGAGATTGTAACAGTCCTCTTTCGTTTCTGGCGAAAACGGGATATCAAATAACTGCACTGCTGCGAGAATCGGACGCCATCTTCTGGTTATATCGACTTACGAATATCTTCATCATGCACGTCTTCGC